AAATGTTGTATAGTAATATTACTGTTAAGATCTATGTAAATTCCTAATGGCTTCCTAATATGTTTCTCAGAAGCAAGTCCTAGTGTGCAGTGGCCCTTGCTGATGCTATGAACGTGTAGATTTATTTCAAGATTGTTTCTGTATACAGTATTGTGTTTTCTTTATCTTTCTAGCTGATCTGTATGTATAATGGGGGGTACAGAAATCATATAAAGACAGGGTGTCTCTGAGAAGATGAAGCTGAGGATGGGAAGAGTCACATTTTCAGTCACACTAGTTGGAGAGTGTAACAGGCGATTAAAGGATTATACATCCATTTTAAGGCTGCAATCTTATACTCAATTTGCCTGGAAGAAAGCCCCACTGAAATCAATGCGACATTGCTAAAGAGATATAGTACAAGTCTGGGCCATAAGTGATTGTGCATTTATCTTCTCAAGTGGGAGGTACAGTACCTTGAAAGAGCCACCTTGAAAGTAATTCTCCTTAATAAAAAGGGTGCTGTGGTAGGTACATGGGCTTCTGGGAGAAGCACTCCCTCCCAAAAGGAAAGGAAATTGCAAGTATGACTTTTTGTTATTGTTTTGACTAAGAAAGGAGGGCATCTTTGTGGACTCAGACTTCAAGTGCTACTGAGGTCCTTGTGCCTTATCTGTCCCCTTCCCCCTTTTAATTGAAAAGCAGCTCCAGAGGCTACTGACTGGGGTCAGGTCCTTCCTACGTTTTGCCCTTCTAGTGATTTCTGAGCAAACAAAACAAACAAACCATCCTAGTAGCGTTGGTCTATGGGCAAACAAGTGTCTTGTTTCTAATGTGAGGGGAAAAACAGCCGGTTGGGGATAAAATACATTTACATAAAAGACACATTTTTTTGCAGAAGAAGACAGAAGGCAGGGTCTTCTGAAAACTACTAAAGGGGGGATAGGCTACAAGCCTTTTCCCTCCTTAAGGTTTGATATCCAGACTAGGTCCTTCCGTTTTGGGGCATTCCCACCCCTTCACATTCAAAGAGCTCACCCTAGTTCTCAGTCAAAGAGAGAGAGAGAGAGAGACTTCAAAGAAGATCAATTTGCAGGAAAGAAGGCAGCCTTTGATAGCAAATGTTTGGATGTAATGAAACTACTGCAAACTGTTGCTTGCTTGTTTGCTTTTACTGTTGTTGTTTGGAGGATGTTCCAAGCACTCGTGTGCCACAATAATTTGGTTACTTTTGTGCCTTTGGTTTACTTGTGGTAAGGATTCTTTGTTGCTGTGCCTCAGACATTAGAACATCTTGGAATGGCTCTGGGGCAATGATTAGCTTTGTGAAAGAAATGGCTGCTGTACTGCAGGGGACCAAAGTTTGCTCAGCCCAGTATACTGATTCCAACAGAGAGCAGTCAGATACTCCCAGAAATCCACCAGTAGCGGTCTCAATGTGTTCTCCTGTATCTGACATCTGGTGTTTATAGCTTTTCTGCTTACAAATGTGATGGTTCTATTTAGCTGACAAAGTTAAAGTTTACTGACAGGTCTGTCTTTCTCCATAACATATTCAAGCAAACGGCAAGAAGAAATTCCATATCCAGAATACCTGAATCCTAAGAGTCCTTCCTTTTGCCTCTCCCACTTTGTTTTCTGTGGCACAGAGAATTGGGGGGGGGGGGAAATAGTCAAACATGCTGAGCTGTGGCGGTACTCCTCCCAATGCCATCTATTTGGAGGGGATGGTGCAATACTCCTCCCCACCCTGCGGGCCCTGCAAGTCCAAGCAGGCCAAAATGTGTGGATGCAGCTCACAAATTCGCCTGGGTTAAAGTTCTGCTTGGATTTCTCATATGCATGTCCTGTCCTTATGTCGGGATTATATGCAAGGCAAGTGTGAGAGAAGGCCCTGCAGCAACTCCCCTGGCCTGGATGTGTTGCAGAAGCTTTCTCTGTTGAAGTAGCTCAAAGCAGCACAAACCAAACCAAAACCAAAGCGCATCCCGGCTTACATCCCAGGCGCCTTTTGCTGACCAATGGAGCCTTTGGGGGGGGCACCTAAACGGGTCGGGGGTCGATTATTATTGTTCCGAGGAGACGTCCAGGAAAAGGCCTTTCTTTTTATAAGGGGGGGGGCGCGCGAGAGGGTCTCCTGAGCTGCCCTGTGCCGCAGTCGTGGGGGCCCTGCTGTGCAGAGGGAGTGGCAGCGGGGCTGCACGAAAGGAGCCTTTGCTTTGGCTAGACCGTCCCGTCGGGGCTGCGTGGCGCCAGCGCCGTCCAGTTAAAAGGAAAGCAGCTCCTCTCAATTGCCACTGCCCCACTGAGCCTCTCCCCAGGCGACAAAGACACCAAAGCGAGCTTGCTTTGCTGGTTAAAGCCGGAGGCAAACGGCGAGAAGAAAAGAGAGGCGGCTCGGTCCTTGAAAAGCGCCGACGACTCTCTTTTCGGCTCTTTTGTGCCAGCTCCCTCTATTCAGCGGGGGCGCTCGGGCGTGTGATTCCCAACTTATTGTCATTACTTCGTTATTAATCGTTCTCATCTGGGTTTAATTGAGCAGCCAAGGACTTTAGCCCAAGGGTCGAGGACGAGGGTAAAGACGTGTTCCAGAGCGGCGACCAACGGGCAGCCCTCGGTTTTTGCAGCAAAAAGAGCAGGCGGAATCCCAGCCCAGGCCTCGTGGTCCGCTTATTTTGGGCTGCCTGCCTTGTTACTGGTGTCCCGTGAGCACAGTTTTCCCTTTTCGACACAGGCCCGGGAAGGCGGCCAAGGGGCTCAGGACAGCCACGGAGGCCTGTCTCGACGCCCCACCGCGGGCGAAAGGGCCTCCCTCCACTTCGTGCGTCTCCTGCCCGCCTGCCCGAGCAAGGGAGGCGATCCCTGCCGCCGCCCGGGTGTGGAAGAGGGGGCGGGTGCTCTTTCTTTCGCGGGAACGCTTTCCGAGACAGACAGACAGACAGAGGCGCGTGGGGAACGTGGCGCCGGCCTCCCTGTCCTTTATGGCTCGAAAGCCGGCGAGGAAGCAACCCCTATAACTAACCGGGCCGTCGAGGGCATTCCGCTCTGCAGGCACTTGCCAGGCGCAGGTAGGTGGGCTTCACGCGTCTTCGGCCGTTGGGGAGAAAGGGGATTGTCGCGCCTGGCCCTCGGCGACAGACTGGCCGGAGCCCGCCGAAGAGGAAGGGCAGCCGTGGCGGGTCTCGACAGCAACTCGACAGCTGGAGATCACCGGGGACAAGGCGACGATCTGGGTGGACAGCCGAGAAACGCCCGCCGGTCCCGCGTTAAGGCAGGCTATTTGGAGAGCGGGCTGCTGAGGGCGGGCAGGCCGCCCTTGGGGGAAGCGCCCCCCGCGGAACTCGCCCGTGGAGCGGGAGCCCCCGAACGCCCCACTCCTGAAGACGGGGGGGCATTTCTGCTGCTGCAGGGCTCCTCACTTCTGGGGCCTTTCGCCGCTGTTGCTCACAGTGCTCCACCTCCCCTTAGTGAGAAATGGACCCGGGAGTGCCTGTGCCCTCCCTTACTTCGGTAGGGATTCCGCATCAACACAGCGAAGACGGAGAGCAGCCACACATTTCTGTTTGTGGACCAAGTCCAGGGAGCGGGACCAGGTGAAGGTGGGTCGCCTACAGGCGGTGGAACTTCAAATCCTCCGCTCGCGTTGGTCACAGCCCGCCCTACCCAAGGACAGCCAAGTTACTGACTGGGGCACCTGAGATGGAAGATAAATCCTGCGAGCCCCTCTGCCTAGCAGTATAATAATACTACGTGGAGTAACTATCAATTTGCTGCCACCCCAACTCAAGCCCCCCCCCCTTGCTTTGATCGAGCTTTCTGAGATCTCCAGGGAGCCTGAAGTGTGGAAGAAGAGCCCAAGGCGAAACCAATGCCTGGTTAAAACCAGACCTAGAGCTGAGTTTGACAGGAGGCTGTTCCACTCTCTGTAATAAGCTTGGGTCTGTAGCCCGCACGCCATCTCTTGCTTGAAGTCTTTTACAAGCCATCTGACTGCTTGTAACTGAATCCCTTCAACGTCACCCGCAGTTTCTGAAGGGGAGTTCTGACAAGTTCAGACTTCAATCGGAGCCGGCTGGAAACTGACCCTGGGAAGTCCAGAAAACAGAGAGCTGCAAGTCCACCAGAGCAGCTCAGGCACCAGCAGAGCCCTGGGGCTGAATTCCTCCCTTTCAGCCCTCCTTCTCTTCCTCCGAAGGTCCCCAGCATCATCGCTGGTCACGCCTCTGCCACGGAATCCCCTGTTGCTCCATAAAGCCACTCTCCTCACTTTTCTTCAGTTGCCAATGCTTTATATGGGCTGCCACTTGCCCAGTGCCTGAGTAGCCGAGGCCTCCCATAGGCAGGTACACTGCCTCGAGTCTCCCTCACCCAATGACTGGACAACGTTTAGTAGTCACACTAAGTAAAAATAACCCTCTTGCTACTGGATCTGAGCACTGGGTAAACAATACTGCACTGATGATGAAAGGAATGTCCCTGGTAATAGGAAATTGCTGCAATCTGCTGGACACTTACTTGGGAGTAAATCTCCAACATTTAAGTGAAAATTACACCCAAGGAAGCCTCCCTAAGTTTGGGATGCTATCTGGGGGAAGGAGACTTTAATACTGAGAGGCAGCTCCTTCATGGGTATTTGCTCAAAAGTAATCCCAGTTAGGAGCTTTTCTTCATACCCAGCACATTTAAGGGCAGATGTCATCCTTTAGATTTGCAACATCCCAGTTATTTTCTCCTCAACCTTGCTGTAAACCAGAGAAAGGCAGCTAGATCTTCAGATCTTTTTTGGCCTATAACTCCCATCAGCTCTACCCAATAGAAAGATACTATAGGAGGTGTGAACTCAAACCATCTAGAAAACCACAGGTGGCCAGGCCCAGCTGTAAACCCAGCTCCTCTGAAGTTCTACCATAAACACACTTATTCTGAATAGGTTTATTTGGAAATGCAATTCATCAGTTCCATTTTCATTTACTTACATTTGTGTTTACCTCCACTTAAATGTGTTTAGGATTCCCCTGACTTCCAAATTAAAAATAAAAACATGAGCGCCTGTAACTGCAACATACTAAGTTGAAATGCAAAGCTGCAATTCTCTCTCTCTCTCTCTCTCTCTCTCTCTCTCTGTGTGTGTGTGTGTGTGTGTGTGTAAGAATAAATGTAACAATTTACTCTCTAGTGATTGTGGAGAGAATCCTGTTTCACCAACATTTTTCTAAGTGAGTACTAGCATTACAATCCTAAATGCACCTTTTCAGATGTAAGCTGCTCAGACCAATAGGCACTTTTCAAGATATACAGGATTGCAGCTGAATTTGGATGCTAGTGTAGCCAAATGGAAAATCACCTGAAAGCAGATTTGCATAATCAATTATTTCAGCACATTGACTCCTGCTCACTTAGCCAATGCCTCTAAAACTATGATTTTGAAATGTATATGTTTTGATGTAAAGGCTATTGTGGAATATCCATTGTCTTAATGGATATCTATATATTTTTGTAAGAATAAGGAAATGTATAGGTATGCCATGTCAAGGTAAGAAACATTTTTATGTCAACTGGACTTTTTCCCCCAAGTAAGTCCTCTTGATGGGGGGGGGGCTCATTTTTAAGGTGCATCTTATTCCAAAATACTTGTCGTAAGTTCCCTTTAATTCTTGGGAACATGCTGTTGGGGGGCGGGGGGAGAGAAAGAACTATAGATATTTTCTAAGCTAATCATATTCCCTAAAAGTACAATAGGTTTCTTGTAATCAGTGGAATTTTCTGCCACCAGGGAAACCAGAATACTTTGGAAGTTGACCCTGGCAACCTGCACTGTGACAGATTCTTTGTGGGTGGGGCTGATTTAAGAGCCAGATATTTAACAACATCTATTTTGGACCAAGCAAATAAATAAATTTTCTCAAAAAAGCATGAGATTAGAATAAATGAAATCCTTTAGATCTTTCTAGTTGGAAGGCAATGTCCAGCCCTATCAAGTCAAGGTCATTTAAAATTAATTTATTTATCAAATATAGCTATTAATATAAATGATAATAACTTTTCAGCTGTACAGTATATTACACAGTACACAAAACCCTTTCTCGGGGCATGTTGGGAGAACAGGAGGCAAGAGTAAGGGGGCCTCCAGACAGTCTGACCTGAAGGGGAGCTGGATTGCTAGGGTCTTTTGAGAGTACCCAAAGGGGCCATAGGGCTCTCTCTTCCTCCTCTGCTAGCTGATGCCCCTCTATACCAAGAAGGAACCGCAGGTTTGCCCTGTGGGGCGGGCTTTTCCTCCAGGCCGACCCGCTTGGGCGGCGGCGGCAGCACCCATCTTCTCCTGGAGGGGCGGCTGCTGCTGCTGCTGCTGCGAAGAGCTGTCTGCCGGGCTCTAAGTGAGGTGGTACATGCTGTAGCCCACGTGCGCAGCATAAAGTCCCACGGGGGTGACGGGCAAGCCGGTGGCGCGCTGAAACGGGCCCGACGAGGTGTAAAGGGAGGCGCCGGCCACGGCCGGCCCGCCTAGCGGGAAGGAGATGCCGAAGGCGGTGGGCGGCAGAATAGGTTTGGCTGCCATCTTGAGCTTCTCCAGCTCAGCCTCTTGCAGGCGCTTGGCCTTGGCGCGCCGGTTCTGGAACCAGATCTTGACTTGCGTCTCTGTCAGGCTGAGCGAGCTGGAGAACTCGGCGCGCTCGGCAATGGATAGGTACTGCTTCTGCCGAAACTTCCTCTCCAACGCCAGCAGCTGCGCCGTTGTGAAGGGTGTCCGAGGCTTGCGGTTGGTCTTGTGCTTCCGGAGGGTGCAGGCTGGGGGGCTGGCGCGCCCTGCGGAGACAGTGAACGACGTCCGTTAAGCCAGGACCAAACACACCGACTTAGGTCCAGCTAGGGAGCCCATCCACCCAACCCCGGGAGGGAAATCCTGTGAAGTCGCGTCCCTGATCTCTACCCTGCAAGTCAAGGTCTTTTTACAGACTCTTCTTAGTCTTCCTGAGACTATAAAGTTTTAGCTTTCGGTTATTTAAACTCAAATGCTGCGGATAAACTGGGATAGGGCCGGAACACAGAGAGGCCCTTTCTAAACTTGCCAGAGATTGCAGGAAATAAGCTTAACTGAATTCAGTGTTACTGCGAAAACCCTCGTGTTTGACATCTTGGTCCACGCTTGAAGCTTTTTCTCTCCACTGAAGTATCAACTTCAATGGCCAAAGTTGCCTCCAGACTCAATATTTCTGTCTCTCTAAATTGACTGGGACATATTTCTCCAGGATTTTATTTCTTGCTTTTGGACTTATCTTACCAAATATCTAACAATTGGATTCAAAACTCAGTTAAAAGGATGTAAATAGATTTAGGCCAATTGGTTTCTGACCCTCTCCAGTTTATATAGATGGTGTCATCCTCTGCACACCATGTGTGAATTAGTCCCATTAAAGTTAGAGGGTTGATTTTCAGATAGATATGGCCAAGAATCAGGCAGCATCTTTTGTTAAAATAAAATGGTTCCTGCAAAACCATTTTTAGTGTGGGAGTGTATTGGAGAAATACATTCAGATAAAATTAGAAGGAAAAAGAAATGTGCCAGGCATTTTTCTCAAAATTGTTGATGCTTTAGTAATTACTTTAAACTGGATGCTGGATTTCAGAAATGTCCCCGCCACATTTCCTTCTCACACATTTGTTGCTTGAAGTCATCACACCCTAAGGGCTGAGATTTTTCTTTAGCAAACTGGATCTGTGTCCATGATATGATAAATTCTTTTTGTTGGGGAAAATAATCAATAGGAAATGGAAAGAACAGGGAGGAAAGAACATGGATTTTACAGAAGTAAGTCCCCAACCTCCCCCCAAAAAAACAACCGAAGTCATAAGGGCTGGCTGGATGATTCAAATCCACTCTTGGGAAACAAGAGTGTGTGTGTCATTAATTATAAACACCAAAAGGAAACTTCATGTTCCTTTTTTACCACTGATTTTACAAGTGACACTGACACCCAGTTGGACAAAGGTAAAAAGTTTTCAAGTCCTGCGCACATTTACTTGTAAGTAAGTCCAACAGATACAAGGGAACTTCCTAGAAACTGTGTTTTGAAATTGCAGCTTCAAAGTCAATTCAATCCAAACATTTCCATAATGAAACTGTGATAGCTCGCTTACATGTTCCCATTAACAGAAAAAGGTAACAAGGGCTGCAATCACTTCTGTACTCACTGAATAAATTTCATTAAGCTTGGTAAGACTGGCTTCTGAGTTGTAAAAAAATGCACAAGTTGTCAGTGGATGATAAACAAAATCATAAAAATGCAATTCACTTGGAAACTTTTCTGCAGAGTTGCCACTAAAATGAAGGCGTAGGGCACCTTGTTGTATCTTTGTAACAAAACCTCATAGGGCATTGAGCCTTCGTAGGCTACCCACAATATGGCAATATGAACCATCAAATATTCTTTGTACTGTAATATATTTAATTTCTAGTGGTGGGAGTAGGATTCTGCATGGTTTTTACATGCAATTTTTTGAAGTGTTCCTTTTCTTACAGGTCTTCACTACTGCTTTACTTAGCTTTGTATCGGAGGAAAATTGAATTGAATAAATCCTACTTGACATAGTAACAGGAAATATGAATGAGATTTTCTTTGTAATAATTTGGAAGGCTAATTTTAGAAAAAAAGTTATTACCTGTTGAAAACCCCAATCCAACAAGATTTATTTTAAAATCAACTGTTGAATATGAGTGGACTTAAATCTTTTAAATAATTTCCAGGTAATTCATTTCTAGGTACACGTGCACAAAGATAAGACATGGAAGAAGAAGCAGTTTAATTAAACTACAGTGGTCCAGGTCCTAATGTAAAACCTAAGGAATTCTGTTTTTGATTTGAGTTTTCTTTCGGGGTATATTGTTTGGAAATCAAAGAGATCATTTCTCAACTCAGAAACAACCTAATCTGAAACGTTAACATCTAGGATGCCAGAAAATGTGAAGTGTTTCAAAACTGAACATTTCTGAAATAAACTTCAGAGACAGCTGTTTAACGATGCTAGAAATTGTTGCAATAGTTGCACTTGCCATTACTGCCTAACCAGATTCTCGGAACACTGACAGGAAATATCTTCCCTTGATACTGACAGAGCTTACTTACTACACAGTTGCAGTCACATCAGTTTAAGTTAATTCAGAATTTCTTATAAATCTGAGCCAAGAAATCATCTGTCTTAATCAACAAAGTGGGGGGCAGAACAGCAGTTCAGTGAAGGAACATTCCAGCGAAAGGAAAAGGCCTCATTAATTCTTCTTGCCTACAGGCTGTTCCTAAATGTAGTAAAACACAAGCCGCTTTCTTGAAAACCATTTGCTACAGTTTATGCAGAAAACGAATCTAGGAACTGCAGGGAAGTTGAGTCTTTTGGCTTCTGCATGCATTCCCATACCTTTATTCCTTAAAAAGCCCTAGGCAGTTACTTGGAAGAAAACTATACTATCGGCCTGGAATATAACCCCTAAATCAACATGCTTAGGGCAATGGCACACACAGTTAAAGTGACTTTGGATGCCAATAGAACCTGAGGGAAGGCATGGTAGAAGGAAGGTAGTCTGAACTTAATGGGTTTCTGATGGCTGAGCTTTATGATTTGCTTGTTTTTCCTTTTATTTCTACTTACTTCTACCTGTAAAGGGCATTAAGGAGGTGTCTTGGTTCTCCAAGAGATGTATACACATGACAATTTAACACTTCATCATAAGCCCAGAAGAGGAGCTCTTTCCAGTCATGAGAAGGCCCTGAAACCTAGAAGCCATACAATGGTGGAGGGAGTGGTGATTGATCTGATGTGACTGATCCAGTATTCATTTCAAAAGAAGCAATGTTGCCTACTTCATAAAAAAAAATCAAGTAAGATGTTCCCATGTTACCTTGACTACTAGTGGTAAGTGTAGATTGAATGGGGCATCAATCAACAGGATTGGTGACAGTTTACAGACAGATTCTACAGTCTGAAAAGGCTTCTCTCTATGATAATGCAAACATCAGAGCACTGGAAAGGGCTTGACTATACCCAAAAGTCCCCTGTGCAGTCTGGTGACATAAGATTCATAATGATGAAGATGTGAAGCATCAGTTTAAGCAGTATTAGACTAAAGGAAGTTTAATGCTTATCAAGGAGTCAAAAAGAGAAAATAGTTTTGGGGGCTTGTATATGGCCCTAAATGTATTTCTAAAGAGATCCCCAATAATACCAGCTTCCAAGATACTTAGGGTTCAGTTTAGACCGGGCCAGAACACCATTATCTTGTAACACCCCCATGGGAGGTAAGTCCTATTGAAACCCAATATTAGTAGTAGTCGTCGTCGTAAAAATAATCATGCGCTATCAAGTGAATTCTGACTTATGATCACCCTTTGCAGAGTTTTCTAAATAGAGAGCTCTCAGAAATGGTTTACCATTCCTTTCTTATGGAGGCCTCCTGGGGCTGTGCAGCTTGCCCAAGGCCCACAGGCTGGCTCTTCTCCCAGGAAGGGTGCCGTGGGAAATCGAACTCCGTACCTAAACCATCGAGCTGTCCAGCCCGCTGTGTTTAGTAGGGGAATGTCAATACCCTTACAAGTTGATGTTTCTTACTTCCAAGTAAACACATTGGAGAATTCCTGAGCATTTGAGTTAATGTCCTTAAAACAGAGATAATACCTGTGTTTCCTGAGCACGAAGCTCCAGAAGACAAGGCGCCATCGGACACATTTCCCGCTCTCAACACGTTTACTTGAAAGTAAGTTACCTTGATTTAATGGGAGCCAAACCCGGTGTATAATCCAAGTGTACTTTCGCTCAACTGGGATGTGACCAACAGGGCGCTCCTTATTTGCTTCTTTCTCACGATTCCCCCTCTTTATAAGTGACGCTGCGGTTCCCGGCTGGCCCACTTACTTGGAGGAGGCGGGGAGAAGCGGGGGCTCTGCATCCAAGCCGTCCGGTCCGCTTTCTCGGGGCTTTCGGCTTTGACCAGCGCCTCTTCGGGCAGCTTCCCTAATCCCCCGACGGCAAAATGGCTGGCCACGGCTAACGGGGAGGCCGGCCTTTCCAGCAGCGAGGCGGAAGATCCCCCCATCCTGGGGCTCAGGGTGCTCTGGCGGCCAGAGGGCCCTCCCAGGTCGGGCCCGCTGACGGGGCTGTCTCGCACTCCGCCGCAGCTTCCCGGCTTCCTGTGGTCGGCCATGAGCGCCTCGACGCTGAAGGGCAGCAGAGCCGGAGCTGCCTTGGGCTTGTCGCCGACGTCCTCCTCTCCCCTCATGGCGACCCCCTGCCCCCCCACCGGAGCCGGCTTGACGAAGGCCGGCGCGGGCAGCTCTTCTGCTCTGATCCCGCTCTGGACAGAAGTCATTTCCAGCCCTGGGGCCATGCAGCGCCGGCCCTCCAGCAGGAGCTCGAGCAGACAGAAGCGCCGCCGTTCATGGAGGTGGGGGCGCCGTCGGAGCCAGGACAGAAGGACCCGCGCCTCCTCACTGCACACAGCTCCACCTCGGGACACTTTCCGAGGCCCACTGGCCCGCTGGACTTGTTAATAAAGCGAAACGAACTCCGCCAGCAGCCAATCCGCGCGCCCAGGGGTGGTTCTCTCACTTCCTATTGGACGCGACGCGCAAGAGAGGGCGCGAGGAGGGGGGCGAGCACTCAGCCAGTGCGTGTCAACGGCGGGTCGTTCGCTCGCTCGCTGGCTCCGTTGTGAACCGTGGGGCCGGCGACTTTAGTGGGAAACTTGGCCTGGTAGTGTAGTAATTGTGTGTCTAAATTTCCTCCTTCGAATGGCTCCAATTCACACCAGCTTGCATTCTATTCATCTCAGGGTTTTGTTTGGATTCGGCTGCCCCTCCGCCGTTCTGTAACTGAAAGTGCAGGAGCTCGGTTAGGTAGCCTTGGTTTTTGGAACCCAGAATCCTTCCATCTGTTTATTTTCCTACTCTCTCTTTTCCGATCAACGGCGTTGAAATATGCAACTGGGTGTGAGCCTTTTTCTTATTTAAAAAACATGCTATATTTGCTCGACGAGCTTCTCTATTTATCAGAGTGAGCGAAAAATGAAAAGTTATTCGCTCTCCCGCTCCCGTGTTCGCTCCACGCCTATTTGGAGCATTATGAACTAATTTGGGGCATTATGAACTGATTTCAGTGGGACAAACTTATATATACGTGTGCTTCGCTTAGTAGTTGACATTGGCTACCAGGAAAGGGAAACTGATCCATTTTGGCTGCCTTGTGGTATAGTCCTATCCTAAACAACTTTTCTCGGAAGCAAGTCCCAATATGTTCATTTCAATAAATAAATAATCAAGAACAAGACAAGTCATTTGGTGGCTATGGGTTAGTGAAATAATAACTAGTAAACAACAGGGGGGAAAAACGCATAGATCTCAAATTCCGACGAGGAGGATGCATGCGACTTTATTTTGTGATCTTCTCATTGATTAAATTCGGCCGAACTTCTTATTTTGAACAGTGCTGAAATTGCTGCGCGTTCTTCTCCATAGGAGAAAAGCAGAGGAAAAAAGAGAAACGCCAGGAAAACTAGTTTTTCTCAGTTTCCAAATACGCAAATGAACAAGCAAGCAAAGAGCAACAAAGAACCGTGGCAAAATATGTCCCTCCTGTTTATCTGATGTGTGTTTCTACAGATAAGATATACAATGTGGCGACCGGTTCGTTTCATTTGATAATTACAAACGTGCCTAGAGATTTAAGCTTTAATACCCAACAGGAAGTCTAACCTCTAGTCCCGACCCATTAAGGTCTCAAAAAGGAGATTTTGTTTCATGAATGATTTTTACGATCCCTTATCCTTGTGACCAAGACGGATGTGCAGTAAAAGGCACAACTCAGTCTCATAATGGGATTGGCCGCTTGCTGGGAAAAGTTTATTGATAGCTGCGGGGCTCTAATCTCGGCGAAACACAAGAGCCTCTTGCAGTCATTTAAGGGTAATTATCTAAAGGGAGGGACGGCAGAGCTCCTGTCTTTTTAACTGGACCCGCGGAAGACTGGAGATTATGTTCATTTAGGGAGGCAGGGAGGGATGTCACAGTCTCGGCTGCACTATGTTTGCTGATACATGACTGACCAGATGAACAGGAATTTAGTATGGTCCTAATGGAAAAAAGTTAATATTTTTACATCTGTGCGTAGGTTCTTGTGAACCACTGTGGTCATGACTGAATTCTAATCCGAACGCCATGGCCGTTCTATACTCTGTTTTGCTTGAAGAAGTCCAACGACTCTGTAAAGTAGGCAGATTGACAGAAAAGATCACCCAGGTAGTTTCAGGGATGTGGGCGAGCGGGGGGGGAAACGATTTTAAGCTACACCTCTCCAGTCGGAGCCCAACATGCAGCCATGCTGAGGCATTGCTCTATAATCAAGACAAATCATGGAACTGTTTCTTACAGCTATTTTGTTGCCGTTGTTATCCTGCTCTCTTTTTCTCATACTGGCTCCCTCACTTCCTGCACCCATCAAATTCAATTTGCCGACTCCTGAAGGACAGGGATCTTTTTTAAAAAAATGTGTATTTATTTTGTTTTATTTGTGGGGGTTGTTCATGAAAAACAGTTTTGTTAATATATACGAATCTGAATTCAGACACACAGTATATTTGTTTCCATCATTTTCATCATTCGTCTACATCCTTTTCACAGAGGAAAGGTGAAACGCAAGCCGATGCCAGCTATTTTTTTAGACGAAGTTTATTTTAAAGGATACAAGGGAAAACAAACCTTTAAAGTATGTAATTTCTTCAGAAATCTCCCCACAGTACATTAGGGAGGCGACATTCTGTGAGAAAAGATTTCATAAAGGGATGCGATGGGATGCAGGAGCAGCGGATGCCTAAGTAGGAAAATGTTTTATGATCTTGACGGTATCAACAAAATATGTTCATATGCAAGTGGGCAGGATAAAGACACCAGGAAATTATTTGAAGTATTCCTTAAGGACAAATTATATCTGGTATCAATGAAAATAATATTCAGTTCACCTATCCACGTACAGTATATTTACTGTGGGCTTCGAAGAATCTGTGCAAATAAACCAGGAGGTGATAAACTGGGGCTTCACTCCGGTACTTGAAACACTGTAAGAGAAGTCACTTATTCAGATAACAGTCAAATTTACCACACCGGTTCGGGTTTGTTTTTGTTGTTGTTTTGGGCGGGGGCAGACTGAAATTCGCAGTCCAGCTGATCGTCACTGTGAAAGAGGCTGTCTTTAGGGACGTGGCTGGACTGTGTTCCCAGTTAACATGCCGGTGAGTGCTGAGTTGTGCGTGGAATTAATCCAAATGGCAGGCGACACCAACCCTGTGAATGTTTACTTAGGAGTAACTGGCATTAAATTCAGTGGAGCTTCCTCCCACAGTTACACTTTCTGGACCGATCCGGCCTTCCTTTCCAAGGGATCGCTCTCACCACGGGGGGGGGCAATGAATGTGTTTAGAGTTCCAGCCTAAACCAGCCCTAATGTTGAAAACCTCGCAGTTCTTTTTTAAAGGAATGTGTAGAGATTTTTGTGTCTCTTCTGGATACCATTTTACCAGATAGGGCCACTTTCTGAAACTCCCCTCCCTAAAACTGTTAGGTCAAAATACTTGTTGAGTTCAAAGATTTCGTCTTTCGAGTTTACTAAACTGTGAACTCAAGTCAGTATATGGTTTCATGTCTCACAAAATGTGATTTGAGAATCTCTCGCTTCTTTCCTTAGTTCGACCCCCGTAGCCAAATCCCGCTCCCCATGTCGGTGGGAACCAACCAAGAGCAGCTCCCCCACCCCACCCCCCGGCCTCGGCCCCCGGGGCTGCCAGCGGGCCCTTTGGAGGGGAAGGCCGGTTCGGTCCAAGGCAGCAGCTGAGCGGCTGCTCGGAGAAGCGGCTGCATCGCTAATTGCGAGAATAAACAATCTGTCACGATTAGTCAGTGCTTCTAATAGGCAGACAAGTGATGTTGTCTTTAGGCGCCAGCGGCGGCGGCATCAAAGGCTCCCGCTGGAGGCGACTATTGAGGACGTTAACCCGCATCAAGGGAGAAAGGCGCCGAAACCCTGGGACACCGGCACATTCAGCCGGGCGAAATTAGCTGGCTCGGACAAGCCCGCCTCTCCATCACCGCCCCCCCCCCGCCCCCCCACCACAAGCTGGGGAGGCACCGGCCATCTC